TCAAGAGATTGAGAGGAGACGTGTTGAAAGAAGAGCTTTGTCAGATTTATGAGCATTTTTATTTAGGCGAGTGCAATCTGATTGAATGTTCAATCTTCTAATAACAAACCAAAAGAAAATCCTATCAAAAAATGAAGACCAGGAAGATTTGAAGACGATAATTGAAGACCAGGAAGGTCGAAATGATTGATCGATTTTGAATTTCTTTTTAGATAGGCTTTCTGTATTTCTGGAGAGCACTGAAAAATTAAAACTGCAATTTTTTTTCAGATTTGTTATATTCAAACAAAATAAAAACTTCCTAAAGATGTATTGTCAGTTCTGATTAGTTGACACCATAAGGAATAACATTTCAAAACATAAATGAAGCGCTCGATTTTATTTGATTCAATTTAAGATTGATAAAGTTCGTTTTAGCTAAAGCTCGGAACCGGTTGGTTGATATCACAAATGTTGGAAGCTCAATAATAAAGGGCGCTCAATTCTAAAGGGTTGATATCCAGCCTTTCTGAAATTACTTGATAAAGAGAATTCCATTCTGGTTGTTTTTATTTCAGCTACACCAAATGGGAAAAAGATTCTGATTTTCTTTCTTTTTGAAATCAACTGCTCAACGTGGATGTATAACTTTTAGTATTACAAATTTCATTTTGGATCAGTGAATTTACTGTTAGTATAAATAATCTAAACATCTTCTCAGAAACTGTAGTTTTTGTATAAAGTGATCATTGTCGAAAAACCGAGGCAAAATTTAACCCTGATTTTGCTGAAAAAATTTCAATAAAATTTACAGTTTTTTATTATTTGAACTGACTTTGTCAACTAAATTCATTTTTAACCGGAGACAAAACAAGTTAAGCGTTCATATAAAACATTTAAAATGACAATTTCTGGACAGATGGTGAGCGCAAAATGAATTTTTTTTAAATCACTTCTTCACAACCTATGGTTGTTATTTCGATTCTTCAGATTTTCAGCAATGTTTTGGCTAACCTGAGCTTGGTTTTGTTGTTCAAAGCCTTACATAACACTCATCTTGGCTTAAATTTGATCAAATCTTATCGTATTTCTTTTTTTAAAGGAAAAATGACAAAAAAACCATATGTTAGTCAAACTTTCGTGTCATTGCCTTAAAATGAAACAATGTCATAATCAATTTTCTCAATTTTCTTCGAATTTTGGTATTTTATTGGTCGTTTTCATTCTTTTTTCCATAACTTGAGATTTTTTATTGATTACATGAAATCCTTTAAAACAAGCCAGTTGCTGAATAATAGAAAAAAAAACATTTCAGTTTCTTGTAACTCATAATACGATATGGCTGAAAAAAGATACAATTCCTTGAAACATTTTTCAAAAGAATAAAAGTTTTCTTCAACAATTATTGTATGATTACGATTGTTTTAAAAATTGTATTTTAGTGAGAAACTTTTTTTGTCAAAAAATTTCCCAATGACTAAATTGAGTACGTATCAGATTTTCAAACTAAACTTTAACAAAATTAGTGCAAGAGTGGTAGAGTAGTAACGTTGATGGAGATCAGATTAGTTTTTGTTGTACAGGAACACCATTTTTTCAGAAATTTTGTTCAAGAGATTGAGAGGAGACGTGTTGAAAGAAGAGCTTTGTCAAACTTATGATCAATTTTATTTAGGCAAATGGAATCTGATTGAATGTTCAATCTTCTAATAACAAACCAAAAGAAAATCCTATCAAAAAATGAAGACCAGGAAGATTTGAAGACCATAATTGAAGACCAGGAAGGTCGAAATGATTGATCGATTTTGAATTTCTTTTTAGATAGGCTTTCTGTATTCCTGGAGAGCACTGAAAAATTAAAACTGCATTTTTTTTTCAGATTTGTTAAATTCAAACTAAATGAAAACTTCCTAAAGATGTATTGTCAGTTATGATTGGTTGACACCATAAGGAATAACATTTCAAACCATAAATGAACCTCGATTTTATTTGATTGAATTCAAGATTGATAAAGTTCGTTTTTAGCTAAAGCTCGGAACCGATTGGTTGACATCACAAATGATGGAAGCTCAATAATAAAGGGCGCTCAATTCTAAAGGGTTGATATCCAGCCTTTCTGAAATTCCTTGATAAAGAGAATTCCATTCTGGTTGTTTTTATTTCAGCTACACCAAATGGGATAGAAAACATTCTGATTTTCTTTCTTTTTGGAATCAACTGCTCAACGTGGATGCATAACTTTTAGAATTACAAATTTCATTTTGCCTCAGTGAACTTACTGTTAGTATAAATAAACTAAACATCTTCTCAGAAACTGTAGTTTTTGTATAAAGTGATCATTGTCGAAAAACCGAGGCAAAATTTAACCCTGATTTTGCTGAAAAAATTTCAATAAAATTTACAGTTTTTTATTATTTGAACTGACTTTGTCAACTAAATTCATTTTTAACCGGAGACAAAACAAGTTAAGCGTTCATATAAAACGTTTAAAATGACAAGTTCTGGATAGATGGTGAGCGCAATATTTATTTTTTTTAAATCACTTCTTCACAACCTATGGTTGTTATTTCGATTCTTCAGATTTTCAGCAATGTTTTGGCTAACCTGAGCTTCGTTTTCGTGTTCAAAGCACTACATAACACTCATCTTGGCTTAAATTTGATCAAATTTTATCGTATTTCTTTTTTTAAAGGAAAAATGACAAAAAAAAACATATTTTAGTCAAATTTTCGTGTCATTGCCTTAAAATAAAACGATGTTATAATCAATTTGGGTTTGATTCTACCCTGTTGACCTAATATAAAATTGTGTTTTCACAATTAAATAACAAACGAAAAAATGCTAAAAACTTGAAATTTGTGAAAAATTTTTTCCAGAACTTCAGAATACTGCGCAAAAACTTTTGCATCTGTAACTTACCATCAAAAACTCTGAAACCTATCCGAAGAAATTGGAAAAGCCTTCTCTATCTTGATACATAGGATTTTGAACACTTCTCTTTAGAGTCTTCAGCAATGCTGTATAGGCAAAACTGGACTCCAAAACATTTTTCATTTTATTTTGAACCTTACCAACTTACCATCTGAAACAGTGAAACGCATTGACCGATCATTCAGCTCAATACATTGGGATATCTATTCACTAGGTTAACACATAGGGCGGAGACCAGATAGTCTGTAGCCCTTCTGAATTAATGAAAGTCTGGCTGAACCCCCTTGGCTGAATAAATCCAACAAATACTCCTCATGGGCTATGAAAAGCCCTGTAGCTGGCATTAAAAAATCAGACAAAAATTTTGTGACAGTAATTAAAAATAATCAAAAAGTGATCTTGGGCTGTCTCGTTAGTTTGAATCCGTTTTGCCCCGCATTGTTTCATCAATTTTTCTAAGTTAGTTGCTTTTTTTTCAAACTGACAATAACAGGAGGGAAATAACAACGACAATCGACCAGAAAAGTGGAGCTAGGTTTTTGAGTAAAATTATTCCATAAAATTTGGTTATCTGGAAATGAAATGTATCATAAGAACACCACTTATATTTTCCCCCCAAATAAACTTTTTGGGACTGATAAAATGTGTGGCTAAAAAAAAATCTATAGTATTTTAAGCTAAATTTGTAGTCTTTTCAGCCAAGTTTTTAGTATTTTCACCTGAAAAAAAAAGAAACAACTGCGATGACGGCATTGAATTTCTAGTCAAATATGATCTTCTCGTATCTTGATTTTGCACAGGAGGCCTTCTCTTAAAAAATTAGAATTTTGTAGCAAAAAATATCACTTCGCAATTATGCTAGAATTGAGCTGTGCGGAAATTTGTATATCAATTGAGCTGATTTTTTGTAATATTCATTCTTGTAGAAATGGTGATTCTACTGTATCAGATGCTATTTTAACCTGAGCAAAGATCGGTTAATAATTAAGTTAAGTAGTACAGCAAACAGAGATTTGAGCTCAAAATAGTTCAAATTTGGAAGATGTCGTTCCTTCTATGCCAGTAAATTTTTTCGACAAAATCGGCGAACCCCCCACCCCCAATCGGAACTAAGGAAGCTAGTATTCTGAAACTCAGAGGAGCGATACTAGAGATGATTTGACGCGGGCATACGAAAAATGGAACCCCTCAGACCGTTGAGGGGCAAAAGAAAACAGACCACGGAAGTGTAAATGGCCCTATCAAAACTCAGAAACTAGCGGCGGTATTAGGCTCAATTTTTTGTACGTTGTATGCCTAGTTGAGGGAAGCTCCATTTTGGAACTTCAAAACCCTAGGACCCCACTTCCGCTATGCCCTAAGTAATCAAACCACCCCTAACCTCCGGAAGTCGTTTCTCGGCCTCCAAGGATCGCTGAAACTTGGAGGAATAATTGGTAGTGGCAAGATAAATCTTGTGTTATATTTTGTGCCTTTTTCAACGAGTGGATCAGAAGCTGTTGGCACTTGAAAAACACCTGTTTAGACTGGAAATAGGCAATTTACGCAAAATAATTAAGGCTGACATAATGATTTTATTCCGGTAGTCGACATAACATACAAACCTCCAAAAGAAAAATTAGCTTGTGAGTGAAATCCCTCCGGTCATTCCTTCCGGTGTTTATAGCCTTTTTCCGGAGAAAGTGATAATGGACTTTAGAAATTGGATAATTTGTGAAGTATAAATGGGATATGGATGAAGCTTGGTTTTTACGACCCCCATGAGATTCTGAACCCAAATAAGGAAGTCTAAACCGGGTGACCCCTGGGTGACCTTAAGTTGACCTTTGTGCGTTTTGACCCCAAAATTGCATTGAAAATCCCAAGATTAACGCCGGAAAGTGG